CTCTTCGGTTTGATCGGACCCATCCAGGTAGCATATACATCATCGAATCGCGGGACATACAAAGTGGACCTGAACCGTATCTTCCACACTTCGACCTAAGATATGCCTCTAACTCCACAACGGAGATAACATTCCAAATAACGACATGAGTAACATCTCTGATTCTACTTGTGCTTAAACGGCGCCGAAGAGTCGAGCTCAATGGTCGCCACACAACCCGGCTCCTTCACACCGAAGAGATACCTGATGATGAAATAACAAGTCAACCAGGGAAGGTCTACACTCCAACACATTCATAGTATAATTACACGTGTACTGTGACGTATTCACACAGCAAGGACAGTTGCACAGCTATAATATCACCATCAAAGCCTAGCCATTTCAGTTCATCATCACCAGCAACTATACAATATAGAGTGTACAAGCAGGGACTATTAGTCAATTCTCCAACTATGTGTATTTACGTCAAGTAATGCCATTATTAATTCCAAATATGATGATATTCTGCATATGTATAGTGTTGCTATAGAAAACGTTCTACAACGACACCACTTGAAAAGTCCCCAGACCCGATGCCTACTGAAAATATGATTCTTGTTTGAAGTCCCACTCAGTATCAGAATCATACACAGATTGGAGTTCGCCACCTCTAAGGAATATTACAGTACCTGCACACAAGGGCATCGAAGCGCTCAAGGAGGTTAGCTTAATGGCCAGTATTATCTACGAATTTCTCGAGGAGTGGTACGGATGATCCAACGCGGCGGAGAGATCGCTTTAGTCCTAGTACAGTCAATTGCATATACTATCTTCTCGTGGAGTGGTATGGGGAAGTCGTCGCAGCGAGCAAAAGAATCAGACCCTGTACTGTTGCATTCACAAGTCTCCACAATTTCCCCAAGGAGTGGTATACGAATTTCAACACGGTGCCAGAGATCCAGTGCACAATAAACGCTGCATATGATTCCACACAGCCCAATGATAATCAACGCGCACTAATACAGTCATTTCTGTCTGGAAACACCATGAGCAACGCGGGGTCTGATTCTCAACGATTTCCCAAAGGAGTGGTATGTAAACTGTACCACCTTCCGGTGCCAGTTTGTCCTTCAGCATCGCCTCAGCCAACCTCCGACGATGGTCTCGGTGCATCACCAGAGGGATCTTGAGCGTATCCGGCCCTCTAGAGAAATAGGGCTCAGAATCATCACTTTTCGACACTTCGGGAGTGTTGTGATCGGGCATAAGGAACTTCTAATAATAAACACTATAAAGGACAGTTCTTCACCGCGTTGGAATCTACGTTCACTCTCCTCAGCTGAGCTCAGGAGATTCCTCACTATTATGGTAAATTACACAGAAATTCACGTAGAATTGTCTCCCCTCCCAGAATTCCTCAAGGATTTTTATTCCGTCACCAACACATGTAGTTCACCAAGTGCATATTTCACCGCACTGGTTTGCCATACGACGACTTGTGCAGCACTCTCCTTCAACTAGACGGACAAATGTCAAGATGGGCGTCGTAAATACACTACATATGAGATAATGGAGTTTCACCACCCTAGTGATATGAAAAACACTAGTGAAAAAACCATTTCACGACTACTGCATATCACCGCGAATATCGCGTTTTTCACCGAGTTTTATGCCAATTCACGTAAAACGGGTCGTGAAACTCTAATGTATTTACGTGTATATAAACAACCGATTCATCTAATATAGAGTAAAGTCCATAAAAGTCTTCACATTCGCAGTTGATGCTATAACCGAATGACAATTTCGTTATTATTGGTTACACTGGGTGTCCGCCGCATCTTTCAGGGGGAAATGAAGAAATCCCTAATGATTCGTTTTCCGCGTTATTTTCTCGTCAATGCGTATTCAAGATACGGTAACTTGAGTATGCTAGTCATAAACAGCCCTTTTACCACACACGCTAAGGAAAATGATCTCAGAGTAGTTTCGAAGATTCAAAATTGAATCAACCGCTTGTTATAATTTTGTGGCGCGTGACAACGCAATGTGAAAGATTCCTCTCAACCAATTGGAAGTTTCGATCCAAAGAGGTACGGATGCTGTTGTGATCACATGTGATGATGAAATGTTATGCAACTCGTGTGACATTGTAAGGCCTCCAATATGTCGGAGTTGCGTATGTCCGGCTTTCTTTTACAGTGGCCCTGTTATAGCCAAGTAGCATCTCCTTGAGGAAGGAGCGTAAGGTACTTGGGAAAGAACGGTAAGGATTCCTCACTTAAAGGGAATGCTGTGTTATGGGGGTAATTGATGAAGTTGACAAGAAGGAGGGAATCTGAGCAGTTAAATGATCTAATATACGGGTGATTGGTATCTTTGAGTGGCATAGCTGCCCCGCTTAGACGAATTGATTGGTATCTTTGAGTGGCATAGCTGCCCCGCTTAGACGAGTTGATTGGTATCTTTGAGTGGCATAGCTGCCCCGCTTGGACGTATTGATTGGTATCTTAGAGTGGCATAGCTGCCCCGCTTGGACGTATTGATTGGTATCTTAGAGTGGCATAGCTGCCCCGCTCAGACGAATTGATTGGTATCTTTGAAAGGCATATCTGCCCCGCTTAGACGAATTGATTGGTATCTTTGAGTGGCATAGCTGCCCCGCTTAGACGAATTGATTGGTATCTTTGAGTGGCATAGCTGCCCCACTTAGACGAATTGATTGGTAGCTTTGAGTGGCATAGCTGCCCCGCTTGTACGTATTGATTGGTATCTTAGAGTGGCATAGCTGCCCCGCTTAGACGAATTGATTGGTATCTTAGAGTGGCATAGCTGCCCCGCTTAGACGTATTGATTGGTATCTTTGAGTGGCATAGCTGCCCCGCTTGGACGAGTTGATCGTTAGGGGGGTATCACCTGTATCTCCTATCTACATAACATTGGAGATGGTAGGTTATTATGATGACTGTTGTGGTTGATTAGAAGGTAATCCATACAGTTCAATGCGACCATTATCGATATTACAATGAGGTATCATGTAAGACCCTCTCATGATCAGAAGCGGACCTGTTTTGTATCTTACCGAGGAGTACCTAAGATTCTTCTCATTTTTTATCATGGCTGCCGTCGTGGCCAGAGTCATCGGACCAGCTCGAAAAGAAGCAGCTCGTTCTGTCAAAAGCCTTCAAACTTCCCTAGCACCGCCCAACACTGAACTTGGGAAAAGATTATCCTCAATTGAATTAACTCGAGTACCGTAAATCTGCCAATTCTCGATTTCATATCTTTTGATTTATATCAGCCACAAGCGCATCTACAAGTACTGCGCAGTATAGAGATTTGTGGAAGGGAGCTGTCAGTAGAAGAGGCCATTTATTCATTGCGAATATTAGCCGCTACTTCACCAGGCGGCCAGAAGGTACTACTACAATGCTTGAGCTATAGTAAACTGGTCTCAGAGGAATATATAGTCGATCTCTTCAGCTCATCTCAGGAGTTTCCATAGCTACGTTATGGAAGTTTACATACGATTTGGGGTAGAAGTGTGAAAAATCCAACAATAATTTCACAAAATTCCTTATGTTTCGTTTCCTCCATGTGCATGTATCACTTTCATGGCTCAATAAGAGATGCTTGAGTTCACGCTGAAATTGCTCTCCAATTTCAAAGTACGCTACGATCATTGACAATGAGTAACGAAGCCAGCTTAGGCTTGTTTATATATATTATCAACGGCGTTTGTCGCAGATGGAAATTTATCATGGTGATCTGGAACTATTTATGAGTCCTTATATTTCGATATTTTCCTTGTTATTGTATTGTACTAGTGCTCACACAGTAAACCGTAGTAGTCAGCGATGAGGGAATGTTGAAGACAATAAGAGGACCAT